GGTACAAGTGATGGCTTCTTTCAAATTGTGCGCAAATTTTATTTTTAGGCTTGCCCATCATCAGGAGCAGAAGGAGGAGGAGGACCGCCAGGACCGCCAGGTCCGCCAGGGCGAGATGGACGGGATGGAGATGAAGGCGAAGTAGGACCTCCTGGTCCAGAAGGACCAAAAGGAGCATTAGGAAAGCCTGGACCACCTGGGCCGCAGGGTGATCGAGGCGAAAAAGGAGAAAGAGGAATAAAAGGACCGAGAGGTCAGGAAGGAGACCAAGGACCAGAAGGAATGATGGGATGAGGATAAAAGCAACAGCCAATGGAGAAGAGTGAGAAATATCGAAACAGTTTTTCTCACTGACATCAGTTCTCTTATTTTTGTTTGCATTAATTTATCATTTAAGGTTCCTTCCTATTATGATATCATAAAATTTACAGGCTAAAAATTATAATCAATGCCGTAGCTGAATTTGCTAACGAACGCTGAAATATAAAATTTGAACTCTGTGAAGCAAATCTTTGTTATATTTTCAAATCATGCGTTTTTTTCAATTTGTTTTCTGAGTTAAAAAAAAATTTTCAAACACATTAAAGTTTTTCAAAATCATTTAGCTGCATTTCTTAAAAAATAAGCATTATATTGTCATTTTTTTGAGAATTTTTTTGAAAATTTTTTTGAAAAAAACAAAAAACAATCGAATCACATTATACTTTAAACGATTACCTCTAATGCAAAAATCCCTTGCAAAGTTAATGTTACGTAAAAAAATTTTGCTGATCACATAAAAGGTTAATTTTTTAATTAAAAAAACAGGAAAAAACGCGGAAAATTCTTCCAAGTATTTATTTCATTTAATAAACAATGAAATTTCTTCTGGTGTTATTTATCATTTATGCGAAAAAATGATACATTTATTGACATACGCCGACTTCTCTGTTAGCTGGCCAACAAAAAAGAAAGAGCGAGCTGAAATGAAACATATGAAATGATAATTATCACTACCATTTAATGTAAATTTATCATTATCTTTGAATATTAGGAGTTTAAAATGTTAATCTAGCATTTTAAGTGCAGCAAAGGAAAAAATCATTCAAAACATTTTGACTCTTGAATGTATAACATGCACTTGTTTTAATATGCTCTCTCGTTTATCTGTTTATCAGTAAATTTGAGTTAGCGAATATCCATCGCCTTAATTTTTTTTTAGCATAATGTGCGTTCCAATTTTCTTTATTTATTTAAAGCAAACTTTTGCTGGGATTTGGATCACAAAGTTTACTTCAATAAATCAATAGATGTGTCTGCTGTAAGAGTATATAAGATTGGATTGAAACATTGAAGCTTGCTTGCTCTACGCGATCAGCTAACATTATCAGACCTTATAGTGGCAATGAGATTCCTAATCATGCAAACACAATCTTAAGGAATAACTAAAGGAGAAGTATGGAAATTGAATCTGTACTGCAATGAAAATGACCGTTATTGGAAATCCAGAAGCCGTTTGGACAATTCAGAAACATACGAAGGTAATTCACATTTAATCTATTTCCCAAGATATAACCCTGTAACTGAAATTTTCATACAGCAACAGCATGAGGAATTATATCATGCAGGAATCGCTCATACACTATCAGAAATGAGAAAGGAATTTTAAACACCTAAAGGCAAAACAGAAGTTAAGCAAGCACTAAAAAAATATAGAACCTGTAAAAGATGGAGTGCAAGTCCATGTTACCGGTAATGCCGAACCTCCCAGAAACACAAATCAAACATACGAACATTCGAGAATATTGGACTCGATTATCTGGGCACTGTTTCTATTAAAACTGAAAGAAATCTAACCAAAAGATGGATAGCTCTCTTTACATGCTTTACAAGAGCCGTACATCTAGAAGTGGCGGATGATTTATTGGCCCAGAGTTTCGTGCACATATTAAGAAGGTTCAGTGCATGACGAGGATACCCTAAATTAGTTTGAGTGACAATGCTAATCAATTTCAACTAGTACCGATGATATACAAATTTGAAGAGAAAATAAACTTTAAAAGGAGTAAAACTTGCGGCTTCTGCGACAAAGAACATTGTCATAATGAATGCCAAACTTATTCCACCTTCAAATAAAATGAGGAAGGTCAGCATCGCAACGACCAACAGTAATAATGAAAAAAAAAAACTATTTTTCAGAGTAAAGTTCATGTAATCTATTATAAACGGAATTTTTTCTTTTTATCCATTTCCTTTTCTCCTTCAACTGACCATTCATATTTCTTCATATTGGTACTACTACAATTTATTCCTTTCATTTCCATCGCTTTCCATGGCTAAAGCTCCCGATTAGGATTTTCTATTATGGTTGACCTTTTATCAAGACCTGGATAATCCAATTTGCTATTACTACTATCTTCTCCACTACAGTAATTAGACAACCGGCATAAGAATTGTACTCAAATCATTTCTGTTTCTCGAAAGTTCAAGACCTGTTCTTTCATTCATCTCATAGATTTTGTATGTTATTAATCTTCCATCAGTTAACCGATTCTCCTTTCCACCGTCAATAAACAATGTCTCATTTTGTTGCATTCCATGCAATTATTCCGCAAAGAATTCTTGAAATGTTTCTTTGTTCTGCGGATACCGGAATGATTCATATCAGATATTCAAGTTTTCAACAGAAATAGAAAATTTCTTCTCAATATATGCTTGAAAGATTTCTGTTATGAATGATCTTCTAAGGGAATCTGAATATCTTTTGGTCGTCTTTGCCACTTTTTTGCCACAATTTTCTGTCAGTTAGCACACAAAGAATTTCAGATTGCCAGCACCAATGCATCTTTTCGGCGCTTTCTCATTGGTCATCTGCGCTGTTTTTGTGGTCCATGTAAGTTCCCCAATAGATTGCTTTTAAATTAGGAACGGTACAGTTTAAAGCATTTTCGTAGATTATACACAAATTTTACTTTTAGGCTTGCATATCATCAGGGACAGGAGAAGATGGGGGAGGAGGAGGAGGAGGAGTAGGAGGAGGACCGCCAGGACCGCCAGGTCCGCCAGGGC